CTAAAGAAGCCGCCAAGAAGCCAACATCCTTCAAAAACCGAATGACAATCAATGACTTGTGCCTTCTCACCCTTTCGCTTCCGATGGCCCTGCGAGGCCTCACGATAGTTCCGAGAAGGCCCAAAAGACCCCCGAAAGAGGCACAAGAGAGACCCATGAAGGATCTAAGAGCGCCCAAGAGCGCCCCAAGACCGCTCCAACAGGGCACCAAGAGGCGATGCTAGGAGCTTGATTGGGGACCCCACACACACACACTCATATCATCGAACACCTCCAAGATGGCCACAAGACGGTCCAAGTTGGCTGAAGATGGCCTCCAACATGCCTCCAAGAGGCTCCAAGATGGCGCCAAGACGGCCCCAAAGACCTCTAGGCCTCCCAGGATCGCCCGCCCCCGAGAGGCACGGCTTCCTCGCCTTTCAGTTCCGCTGCACACTCTCCCGCTTTCCTGATCAAGGCAACTCGCCTGGGCATCGGCGCTGGATGGACTGGCAGGGATGCGCGAAGCGTCGAGAACAAGAGAAGACCATGAACCGAGTAGAACCGAGATCACGAACCAAGAATCCCATGGCCGAGGGGAACAAGAAATCATGACGCGCAGCAGGGAGGGGAACGCAGCCGAAATATCCAGGAAGGCGAAACCCAGCGTCAACCTCCCCTACAAGCAAGCCCAACGGAGCACACGACTCTCGAGCTCGAAACATGTTGAATAGCACCGCGCTGGCACTTGTGAGCAAGAACTTGACAAATGCATCTGGCACGGCAAGTGGCCGAGGCCGCAATACTGTCGCCCGTGTTCGAGGTGCGCAGGGGGCGGGCGCGGTCAGCCTTGCAAAGCATCATCTGCATCTCGAGACCGGACTCCCAAGGAAGACGCACAGGACAAAGAAGAGGAAGTCCGACCCCAAAGAACCCCGCTAAAGAAAACAAACGCACAGACAACACGAGACGCCGCGAGCTGCATCCCCAGCACGGCACCACGCCGAAAGGCACAAGCCGTTAGGCCCTGCGCCAGCGTCACGGAATCGTCTCATCATATCGACGAATTCACGCAACTCCTATCGCCGGCACATCAGGGAGCCGGGCACCAGCTGGACACAGCGCACCAGCATTAAGTGGGAGGCACGTCCGATGCATCGACCCCTCGCCCCGGCTGGTCGAGCCGCCGGGTAGACAATTCAGGAGGGCGAGCCCGACAACGGCGGCGACGAGTCCAGATCATCGAGGCCAAACCGACAGAGCCTAGGAGAATAGGGCAAGCATGACAAGCACAGTGAGCCACGGCGCTCTGGCGGGCCCCGAAACACGGCCAATGTCCAGGAAATCGCCGCAGGCAGCGACGCGATGCGCGGACCGGCCCGTGATCTTGGAAGAGGCGCCCCTCATCGCATACTCGAATTCGGCAACGCAGCATGGCGGGCGGGTGGGCGGCGCTTCGGCTCGCAAACCTGATTGCGCTTGTTCGAAGGCCGCGGGATGATCGGGACTTCGGGCGACCCCGGACGGCGCGCAGAAGATGCCAAAGTGACCGGTCTGACAGGGGGCGCAAACAGACACGCGATCAGAAAGTTGCCACGCGCGAGCCCAGCAGCTCGCCGCGCAGCTCTGAGCGCCCAGGTCAGGGAGCGCATCCAAACGAGCCGCGAACTAAACGGCCGCTGCGCCAGAAAAGGGCCCGATCGCCCCGAGCGGCGCCACAGGCGCGGTGGCCCCGCTCAAGCAGTCAGGCCAGCGCCACGGCGCTGGCCCTGGCATCAAACTCTGGAAGCACGCGTGGACGAGCAACGACCCGCAGAGGCACTCCCCTGCATCAACGCGCCCAGGCCCGGCGCTCGGCCGGAAGGTGGAGCCCCCGGGGAGAGCCGCGGCGACCAGGCTCGAGGCGGGAAGGGGGTCGCGGCACGGAGCAGAAGAGCGCGCGCGTCTTGGCCTGGCTGGGCCACTTTGAATCGGCATGCCGCGACGGCCGCCACTATGAATATTGCCAAGACGACTGGGCAGCACAACCTGCTCCTCCAGTAAAGCAAAACCGACAGCGAGAGACAGAGAGAGCAGACGCTAGCACTAGGGGAGACCCAGAAAATGCCTCTACGCCATTACTCGGAGAGAGACAGAAGGCTCCTTCAGCGAAAAGCCCATTAGCAACTCGGCAGCGGACAGGAAGGTCCGCCAGTGCATCGCGGGCCTCCTGAACGAAAGCAGCGCTGTGTTTCTCGAAGAGCTGCCGGGGCTTGTCACGTTTAGCCACAAACTGCGTGGCGCAGGCATCCTACCGTCAACCGACTGACGCGCGAGTTCCAGGCGGCGAGAGATGTGGCTGACGACGCAGGGCAAGGAGATGCGACGGCATGCGGACACGGAGGCTCGAGCGGCTCCGGTAGCGAGGTAGTCAGAAGGATGGAAGTCGCGCAAGAGCTCGTCTTCGATCACGTCGATGGCTTCCAGGGCCGAAGGGAAGTCGTTGTTGTTGTTCTTAAAACAAAAAATATCCCAGTGCGACCCTACCTAGGAGTAGGAGCGGTGAGCGCCGTCCTCCTCCTTTTCCTCATCGTCGTAGTTGTAGAAGTAGCGGTATTAGTAGTAGTAGTAGTAGTAGTAGTAGTAGTAGTAGTAGTAGTAGTAGTAGTAGTAGTAGTAGTAGTAGTAGTAGTAGTAGTAGTAGTAGTAGTAGTAGTAGTAGTAGTAGTAGTAGTAGTAGTAGTAGTAGTAGTAGTAGTAGTAGTAGTAGTAGTAGTAGTAGTAGTAGTAGTAGTAGCGCCAGAACCACCAACGCCATGCCGTAAGTGAAGCAGCAGCAGAAACAGGCAGCAAGTCGCCGAGAAAGCAGCAAAAGCAAGCAGGTACGGAGATGAGGGCGTGGCACTGGGGCGTTCTTTACATCTGCATCTACACCTACACCTACATCTACATCGACACGTACATCTACATCTACACCTACAGCTACGTCTACATCTACACCTGCATCTACATCTATATCTACATCAACAGCGAGACTCACACCTACATCTACATATACACATACATCTACACCTACGTCTACACCTACATCTACATCTACACCTACATCCACATCAACACCTACACCTACATCTACATATACATCTACACTTTCGCATTGGTTTTGCTTTTTGCTCTGCATTGCCTTTGCTTTTGCTCTCGCCTTTGCTGCTTCCTTCGCCTTTGCTTTTGCTTTTGCTGTTGCTTTTGGTTTGCTTCTGTTTTCGCGTTTGCTTGGTTTTGCTTCTGCTTTGCCTGCGCACAGACACACACATGCACGTTGCTGCATTCGCTCACCGGGCGTGCTTGAGAATGCTCTGGATCCGGCCTACACCGCACGACTTGGCATTGAACAAGGTTGTGCAACACTTGCTACACCGAACGTTCCTACGAACCTGTACAGCAGCAGCAACTCCCAGATCGGTGCAACAAGCTGCTCAGCATTGTTTCGGCGGGGATCATCGGCGCTGGAATATGCGGTTTCACCAGAGTGGTGTGACCACAACCTCCCCGCTGTCGTGGAGTCGCCCGAGCCACTCTTGGCGCGCAGGGACTGTGTCGAATAACCGGTAGTACACAGATCGCCGTGACTGGTCCCCCTTCCGCAACTCGCAGATCTTGTAGCAGAAACGCTGCAAGTTAACAATATGCCGTCGCATTTGAGCAGGGATGTGCTCGCAGCCGAACTCGCTGTGATGCAGAATGCAAGCAAACACCTCATTCGCTCTGCAGCTCTGGTAGTAGCACTGATCCCAAGCGTTCCTCCGCATATCAACAGCGCTCTCTGGCACGATGCGCTCCCCGTTAAACAGCAAGGCGTTGATGACTTTGCCTCCACCCCAGGCTGTCGACCAGGACGTTCGCAGCAAGAGTTCCGCGTGGTCACCCCACTGAAACGGGGAACCGCGCGTTTGCTTTTACCTTTGCTGTTGCTTTCGCTTGGCTCCCAGGGGACTGGGGGAACCGCCCGGGGCGGTTTGCACTGCCCGGCCCCCCTTTAAGCCAAGCGAGTAAGAACCCTTCTAGGCAGAGCCTAGGTAGGGAACAAACAACAGAAATAAAAAGATAAGCACGCGCGGTCACCCGATGTCCCCAGCGACTGTTTCGCGGGGGGGGCAGGCCATTCGCTCGCCATCAGTCAGGGCCGTCGGCGTGAACAAGAAAGAAAATGAAGAGCAGCGCGACGAAGAGAGAACCGACGAGGAAAAAGAGGCACAGCTCGATGAACAGGCGAACTCGGCGGCAAGAGCAAGATCAGCGCCGTCATTACTGCCAGCGTCGACGGGCTCGATAAACTCCGCCGCCGCCGAGCTCGGCGGCTGGTGCATGCAAAGTCCAGACTGAGCGGCTGGCAGCGCCAGAACAGGCTCGCTGCCAACTTCCCGTCATCAGCTGAGGCACTGAGCTTTTTGGCGCACGGTCCTCGAACATCATGGGGTGGATGTAGTACTCTCTCGGGGGTCCGCGGAGGCGGCGAGGAGTCCGACGACGCGCTCGCCCTTCGTTCAGAAAAACACTGCCTTGAAGCCGTTGCACCCCAATTGGCAGGTGGAGTCCCACAGGCCGACGGTGTCGAGATGTGAGCACACCGGCTCTGGGGTTTGTCCAACTGTTTGCTCGCGTGGCGAACAGAAAGAGGGGCGTCGTGGCGAACCCGCGAGGTCTTGCTGTTCTCCCCGAGGCAGGTCAAGGTGAAGGGCTGAGCTCGGAACGAGATGAGAAAGAAATCTTGGCATCCTCGGAGGACGGAAAGCGCATGGATGAGGTCGTGATCAGCGCGAGGACGGGTGCTGCAACCGTCAAGAGCACGCCCCTCAGCGCCGTCTCCCCGCAGCACGTCACCCAGATCTCGGTGGAGTCGGCCCCGTGGGAATCACGCCACGAGGCAGCACCGCTGCTGCCAGGTCCGTCGCGACGATCACGAGCGCCAGCTGGCGGGACCCAGGCTGACCAGTTGTCCTTTGAGGCGCCCCCCCCTGGGATTGAGAGGGCGGGTGGGCCACATGTCGGGCAGCCTGGAGTCCAGCTGCTGCTCGATGGCTATGCTCTTGGCGGAGGGCCGACGCTCAAGCACCGTCGCCTTGGCCGACGCGGTCTCCAGCGCGACGCCACGTAGCAGCGACATCGGGGCCTGCGTGGCCTTGGCCCTGGAGGATTCGACGACGGCCATGCGCTCCGCGACGGTGGCGCGCTTGGCCTGCAGCTGGCGGACCTGCGTGGCAGCGTTAGCGATGTTCGCGTCGAGGGAGCAGAACCTTGCGACAATGAAGTCCCCGAGGGAGGCGATGTCGTCGTCTGCGGGTGGCGAGTCGGCGTGGCCCGAGCGCCCACTGCCAGCATTCCCCACAGGGGTGGGAGGCGCCGACGCGGCGGCAGGCCAGTGAGGGCAGGCGGTGCGGCGGGAGGCAAGGCAGCGCCCGCCGCGGCAGCCCCGCCGTCGCCGTCAGCGTCGCCGCGCGTCAAGTCGAACCCCGCGGCTGGGGGCGGTGCCATGGCCGCTCATGCTTGGGCCGACCAGGAAGGGCTCCGTGCCGATGGCGGGCTGTTGATGGCCATCACTGAACTGGGCCGGCCTCGGCGCCCGGCGGCGCGGCGATGGCGAGGAGGGGCGCCCCAGACTGGGAGGACGCGTCGACAGCAGCTCCCGCAGCAGCAGGAACGGGAAGCGGAGAGGAGGCGGCCGCGGAAGAGCGGCCCGGCTGCTTGACCGCCACGGCCGCAGCGCTGTCGTAGGCCTGGGTCGGGACGCCCTTCCACCTCCTCCTTCTCCTCCTCCTCCTCCTCGGGCTCGACGGGGGCCACGCCCTTGCCCCACCGTTCCCGCCTGGGCTTCCGGAGGACCTTCGGCGCCGCTGCGGGAGGAGGCTGTCGGCCAGCCTCCGCGGGGCGGCCCAGGCCTGCTGTGCGTGCCTGGCCCGCTGGCATCGCAGGATCGCCTGCCGCGGTACGACGCATGGCGGTTACAGAGCGAGCTCAAGGGACCAGGCGGCCCTCGTGAGGAGCTCAACGGGGGAAAAGCCTGACCGTGGCGGCTGTCATCGAGCCAGCCTCTCGGCTCTGTCCAAGCTCATGCGCCCAGGGCACGGCGTTTGAGCTTCAGCCAGAGTGGCTACGAAGGGGGGGAGGAGGAGGAGGAGGAGGAGGAGGAGGAGGAGGAGGAGGAGGAGGAGGAGGAGGAGGAGAGGAGGAGGAGGAGGAAAGGAGGAGGAGGAGGAGGAGGAGGAGGAGGAGGAAGAGGAAGGGGGGAGGCAGGGGGAGGGGGAGGGGGAGGGGGGAGGGGGAGGGAGGGAGGAGAAGAGAGGAGAGGAGATGAGATGAAAGGCAGAAAGAGCAGGCGGAGGAAAGAGGAGGGAGGAGGAAGGAAGAGGAGGAGGAAGAGGAGGAGGAGGAGGAGGAGGAGGAGGGAGGAAGGAGGCGGAGGGAGGAAGGGGGGAGGAGGAGGGAGGAGGGGGGGAGGAGGGAGCAGGAGCGATCCCCAAACGACTCCCCGCGACTGCACTGGAGCCTTCCCTTCACGGCGAGGCCTGGTCGCCGGCGCCGTAGCCTCCGCCGCGGGGGGCCGCGCCGCCGAACATGCTCGTTGGGGGCCGCGCGGAGGGGCTGCACGCCAGCCACGGGCGCCAGCGGGCGGCTGGGAAGAGAAACAAAAGACACAAAAAAAACGCTGCGGGGGAGAGGGGAGGGAAGGAGCAGGCAGGAGAGGAGGGGCGCGGGAGGGAGGCAGGGGAAAGAGGAGGGGTGGGGGTAAGGGGAATGGGAGGGAGGGGAGGGGTTGGAGGGGGACAGGGGGAAACCCGAGAGCAGGGGGAGGAGCGGGGAAATACGGTAGGAGGAGGAGCGACTGAGGGGGGAGAAGGAGGAGGAGGAGGAGGAGGAGGAGGAGGAGGAGGAGGAGGATGCGAAGGAAGGAACGTGGGGCGCTGTCTCTTCAGAACGAGGTCCCACCACCACATGATCATTTGGAACAAAGCAATGGACCGCAGCGCTGCACTTATTCTGGGACGTGCTGAAATCACGTTCGGAAGTCAGTTCAGGCCATTCCATTACGACAGTCGGCTCGTGCAGCAAACGCCAGCAGTGGCAGCGGGCTCTGGCGCTGCTGAGCGAAAGGAGCGAGCTTGAGTCGAACATACTTTCTCTTACAATTCAGGAGCACGCGCGTTCGAGAAAGGGGGTTCAAACCAATCTTTTTTTGTAGGTAGGCATTTCCGCGAAAGCCCGGATTTTTTGCTGCGCCTCGGGATGCCCTCCTCCTCCTCCTCCTCCTCCTCCTTCCTCCTCCTCCTCCTCCTCCTCCTCCTCCTCCTCCTCCTCCTCCTCCTCCTCACTCCTCCTCCTCCTCCTCCTCTCCCCTCATCCTCCCCCTGTTCCTCCTCCTCCTTTTCCTCCTCTTGCTCCTCCTCCTCCTCCTCCTCCTCCTCCTCCTCCTCCTCCTCCTCCTCCTCCTCCTGCCTCACAACTTCGTAGACGAGCCGCGGGCGGCGCTCCGTGCCCCCACCCGCCGCGCCGAGAGCAGCGGCCTCCTTGCTGTACAGGGAGGCCGCTAGAGAAGTGACGGACGTCCGCCAGTGGACGTTCGCTCCTCCTCCTCCTCCTCCTCCTCCTCCTCCTCTCTCCTCCTCATCCTCCTCCTCCTCCTCCCCCTCCTCCTCCCCTCCTCCTCCTCCTCCTCCCTCCTCCTCCTCCTCCTCCTCCGTTTCCCCCTCCTTCTCACCCTCCTCCTCCTCCTCCTCCTCCTCCTCCTCCTCCTCCTCCTCCTCCTCCTCCTCCCCTCCTCCTGCTCGTCATCACATCATCATCATCATCATCATCAGCATCATCATCGTCATCATCATCAGCATCATCGCCATCCTCGTTCTCATCATCATCAGCATCATCAGCATCATCATCAACGTCATCAGCATCATCAGCATCAGTATCAGCATCAGTATCATCATCAGCATCATCGTCATCGCTACTACCAGAATCATCATCATCAGCATCAGCATCATCATCGTCAGCATCATCAGCAGCAGCAGCATCATCAGCAACATCAGCATCAGCATCAGCATCCGCATCATCATCATCATCATCATCATCATCATCATCATCATCATCATCATCATCATCATCATCATCATCACCAGCAGCATCAGCATCAGCATCAGCAGCAGCAGCAGCAGCATCATCATCATCAGCAGCATCATCATCCCTCCTGGTCCCTCCTCCCGTTCCTGCCTCTGCCCTCCGCATGTCTGGTTAGGCGTACCCCTCACACTCTTCGTGGCCTCATAGGGAGCGTCACCGTAGGCCCACATGCCAGCGCTCGCACGGCACAACCACACCAGTTTCGGCACACCCCTCACACTTTTCGTGGCCTCATAGGGAGCTCCACCGAGGGCCCCAATGGCTGCGCTCGCGTGGCACTACCGCGCCGATTTCGGCACACCCCTCACACGCTTCGTGGCCACCTAAGGAACCCGCCGAAGGACCAGATGCCAGCGCTCGCATGGCACCACCGCGCCCATGTCGGCACACCCCTCACTAGGACCGTGGCCCCGTAGGGGGCTCCGCCGAAGGCCGAACTGCCAGCGCTCGCATGGCACCACCGCACCACTATCGGCGCACACACACACACACAAACACACACACACACACACACACATCCACACACACACACAAACACACCTCGCACGCTTCGTGGGCCCATAGACCCATAGGGAGTTCCACCGAAGGCCCACATGCCCGGGCTCGCATAGTCCCACCGCACCCATGCCGGCACACCCCTCACACGTTTCGTGGCCCCGAAGGAGCCCCACCTGAGGCCCAAATGCCAGCGCTCGCACGGCACCACCGCGCCCATTTCGACACACCACTGCCTCGGATTGCGGCCGCGAGCTCCACAAAAGGCCCGCATGCCAGCGCTCGCACGGCACCACAGCGCAAATCTCGGCACACCCCTCACACGCTTCGTGGCCCCATAGGGAGCCCCACTGAAGCGAAGGCCCAAATGCCAGCGCTCGCATGGCACCACGCACCCATTTCGGCACACCCATCACGAAGAGCATGCCCCTTAGGGAGCTCCACCGAGGGCCCCAATGGCCGCGCACATTACGGCACACCCTTCCCACACCTCGCGGCCCCGTAGGGAGCTCCACCGAATGCCCAAATGCCAGCGCTCGCATCGCACCACCGCACCCATGTCGGCACACCCCCCACAAGGATCGTAGGCTCATAAGGAGCTCCACCGAAGGCCCCAGTGGCTGTGTCCGCATGGCACCACCGAACCCATTTCGGCACACCTATCACGAAGATCGTGGCCCCATAGGGAGCTCCACCGAGGGCCCCAGCGTCTGCGCTCGCATGGCACCGCCACACCCATTTCGGCGTATCTCTCACGAAGATCGTGGCCCCATATGGAGCTCCACCGAGGGACCCAGTGTCTGCGCTTGCATGGCACCACCGCACCCATTTCAGCACACCCCTTACGAAGATCGTGGCCCCACAGGGAGCTCAACCGAGGGCACCAGTGGCTGCGCTGGCATGGCACCACCGCGCCCATGTCGGCACACCCCTCACGACGATCGTGGCCCCGCAGGGAGCTCCACCGAAAGCGGCACCCACAACGCGGCAGTCGCAGTTTTGTATGGTTGGGCCCATCGCCATGAGAATTCCTCCACACGTGTGTATGATAGCTTGGACGAAAGAAAACCGTAAGCCATGATCCTCCCTGGATGTCTTGCATGTGAGGGGTCGAGAAGAGAAGGCAAGGGGTCGAGAAAGGAAGAGGATGGTAGGGACAGGACCGGAGGGCAGGACCGGACCAGGCGTTCGGGAGTGTGCGGAGCAGGACCGGACCAGGTGCGGACCACGTGTGGACCGGGTGGTTAGGGCAGGACCGGACCAGGTGCGGACCACGCGTGGACACAGGGGCGGGAGGAGCAGGAGAAGCATGAGGAGCAGGAGGACAGCCAGCCACACGCAAATGAGTTCAAGCGCCCCGAAGCAACACGCCAGTCGAATGCACAGAATTGTCTGTCCACCAGAAATTCGAATTGAGCATGGCTCCTTGCCCCCCCCATCAAAGGGACAGAGAGCACGAACTGGCACCCGCGCCATGTCCCCTTCTCCGCCTCCTCCGCCTCCGCCTCCGCCTCCTCCTCCTCCTCCTCCTCCGCCTCCTCCTCCTCCTCCTCCTCTGCTGACTCCACATCGATGTGGCGAAAGATAGTCCAAAGCTGCCCCTTTTCATCCCCGCAGCCTTACAACGCTGGTCAGGCACAGACGGAGCGCGCCAGCGCAGATCCCACGCACGC